AAAAAAAAAACAGTTGAGAGGTATTCCTTTTCTAAAAGTATTCCGTTAATACTTCCTCGTGACTTTTTCGTAGGGATTGACGATTTTTGAATAATTTCGTGTCAATTCAACGGAAACAATGTCCATCACGTTCTTAACGATGCTAGCATTAAAAACAACATACTCGAACGTTTTCGATTCTATGAATACCTCTTAGTTCAGCTAATTGCTCCTAAATATCTAGAGAAGTTTTCTGATGAAGGTAACTGAAGCTAATTTATGGATTGCTGGATTCAAGCTGCGGAAAAACTCTTTGTTACTAATCCGATCGCATCAAACATCAATATACACGATACATGGGACATGCACTTCACAAATTCTTTCAACACCAAGCTAATTGTAGCATAAGGAAATCTTAAGCATTTGACGTTTACGAACAACATACCTTTATCGCCGCCTTATTTGTTTCCCAGTGGGTTATCTCGGCGTGTGTTTATCTCTCGACACACGCTAAACGGCAACTTGTTTCTATTCTTTTATGTGTGTAGATATCAAGAATAATCTGCTTAATTGAGAGTGATCATGCATTGCAAATGATGTAAGCCTCCGGCGGTGACGTCAAAGACGTAATTAAAGTATTGCACGGTCACGCGATTCAATGTACGCAGTGAGCTCTTTTTTTCAGTGATTTACATGATAAAATAAACCTTTATCACTGCTTTCCAGACCGGTACGTTCTATTCGTGCTGCCAGCTCAAGCTCTCACTACAAATTACTTACTAAAAACACACCTCTTAGACTACAATAACTGTTACAAGATACAATAGTCACATTCCTTATGTCAGTGTTCAAATTCTCCCTGCTGGTCCAAGCCTGATCCTCAGACGTCCGAGGTCGGTCGTGGCCACTTCGCTTCCCCTCTCTCTTAGAGGGGTAGCGAAGTGGCCGCGAACGACCTCGGACGTCTGAGGATCAGGCTATGCTGGTCCCCCCCTTCCCCCATTCATTTCCTATGGCACTACAACAGTTGAGAGTTACTGGTCAAACTAGAAATGGTCTTTTTGTTGATATGTTCGTGTATTCTCTCAACCTACCGTTTGAATTGCATTAACATTTCAAAGAGAAATGATATATTGATCACTCTAGGTGCAATATCTTGGAAATATAAATTCTTTTCCTTTCCTGTCTTGTGTTCAGTGCAGCGAGTTTCCTTTTTTTTTTTTTTTTTTTTTTGCGCAAACCGAACATGACTTTGCAGGTGAAGCTCAGATATAATGGATCGATTTATACCCGAGCATCCCCTCCCCCAGGAAATTCAGGCGATGCCAAAAGATGACACTGTCTGTCAGTTTTGTGGAGTTAGCTATCTGATTCACAGTGAAATGAAAGCCTTGGAGGAACGTGTTAAAGAGGCTGAAAGAAAAATGGAATATTACATAGGAAGCGTCGAGCGGGAAGAGAAACTAAAAATTAAGGTGGCTAGCATGGAGGAGGAGAGTGATAAGCTGTCAAGGGCATTACAGGCTAGTGAAGAAAGGTAGGCTGGATAAATGAAGAAAAATAGTAAGTAACTTTAAGCTTAGTAGGCCATAGGCAAAACACAAGAGATATCCTGAAAGGATTTGAGCCCATGACCTTCCCATCCCCCCCCCNAAAAAAAAGTAATGATGATAATAAATAATAACAATGAATAGATAAATATATGACTGGAAGGGAAAATCAATATCATGGCTCTTCATTTTCTGGTTTCAGTATCTGAAACAGAATTCTGTGTTCTAATTCCCAGAACTTATCAACTGCTGGGGTTTCATTAAGGTCCAGGCACTGGGCAAATTGACCGGTTGTGATGATGATTTTTCTCATCTGGTTTGACAAGCTAGAGTAAAGTTTTTCCTACAAAGAAGTTCAGTCCAAAATGTTTTGCCCACCTGTGAAAGCCTCCCTCCTGCTGAAAATGGAAGTGAAACCCCTGCATCTGTAGTATAATTGCTACTGTATGTGTAGTACTCTACATGTACATTATTCTTCTAACATGTTATGTATCATGTTTTAACTAACCTGCAGGACAAAGATTCTGGCACAAGATTTAACCTCAAAGCAAGAACAGATTGAAAGTCTTAAACAACAAATAGGGGATCTAAAGAGGGAACTTCAAAGCAAAGAAGGAGAAGTCACACAAACTCATTTGAAATTTTCTGATCTTATAACACAAATTTCGTCATTTCAAACAACCTTACAGACACAGAGAACAGCTCTGAATGATATTAAAGTCAATGTTCAAGAAAATTACCAAGATATTGCTGAGCAACATAGCAAAGTTGTCAGCAATGTAGCTCTTACATGTGAGAAGTTTGCTCAAGAGAAAAGAGACTTGGAGGAAAGCTTAAGAAAGGTAAAACTGCCATTACAGATTGACAAGGGATTGGTACAAAACATGGCACAGTGGCCTCATGGTTAGTGGGCTCACCTCTGGATCGAGCAGTCGGGGTTCAAGTCGTGGCCATGCACATTGTGTTGTGATCTTGGGCAAAACACTTTACTTTCACAGTGCCTCTCTCCCCCCAGGTTTATAAATGAGTACTGGCAAACTTTATGCTGGAGGTAACCCTGCAATGGACTAGCATCCCAACTAGGGGTATAAATACTCCTAGTTGCTTCACACCACAGAGACCGGGATGTGTGCAGACTTAATTATCTGTTATTTTGTTGTTCTAGGCTGAGAATGAAAAAAGTCTCCACCATGAGACTGTTAGTAAAACTGAAACATTGATTCAGGAGCTAAAGCAGAAATGCACTCAGTTGGAAAATAAAGTTCATGAACAAGAGATTGAGCTGGCAAAAGCAAAAGAACAGAATGACATGTGTAACAGTGAAATAATGCAGAGCAAGGAATTAATAAAGTAAGTAATGTTAATGGGCTCGATATTTGTATGCATAACTTGATACTGTTAAATGTATGCACTGTCGAATATAATGTTGTTGAGATGGGTCCCCAGTACAGTTGATGTACGTTGTGCACATACTCTGCTGGTTAAACAGTGACTGCAATTCTCTTACACTGGAGTTTCTTATATGTAACATGGTTTTGGCTCTACCATGATGGAAAACCATACAGAATCTTTGAGGCTATTAATCTTTTTAGACCTTCTAATGATCCTTAGTGATAAAGATCTTTCAAGGACTCTGAAAAGATCTTGAAAGGTCATGGCAAGAAGGATCAAGATCCTCAAGGACCTTGACAAGAAAACTGAAAATTCTGAAGGATCTCGGAGGTTCTTGGCAAGAATTCTTAAACTTAATAAAGGTCTTGTTAAGATAGGATCCTCGAAGATCTTTATGGATTGAATAAATCTTTGACTGAAGATCCTTGACAATCTTCAAAATATTTTCTCCAGGGTTATTATCTCAGTGGAGATGTACAATCAATAAATTGCACTCATCTTGTTTACCTCACCCTAAATGTAAAGCAAGATTAGACTTATTTGTGATTTGTCAAACCAAATAGAACCTGACAGAATGAAATGTCTACACCCTTTGGACAGTACTTTGTAGAGTGGCATTGTAAAGTCCATGGATTGGTCTTTTACAAGCCCCTGTCCCTAAGATGTAGGAGGAGGAAGGTTCTGTGAGAGTTCAAGACTTGAAGCTTCAACCACCATGCAATGTCTCTCATGCCACCCTATTCCCTTCAGGGGTCCAATAGGAACTGGCGATGGCAGTGCATGTTTTTATTTATTTAACCTCCAGAAAACCGTGTTTTTTTTTTTTTTTGGCCTCTTTCAGTTCCAAGTCTAATGAAGTTAATGACTGGAAACAAAAACTTCAGAACCAGGCAGAGACATTTAAACTTGAAACCACGAAAAAAGAGGAGGATATTCTTTCAAAAGAACAACGCATTCAACAACTCTTGGAAAACTGCAAGAACCTTGAGAAGCGTGTTGTTGAATATTCGCAGGCAAGAAGCGAAGTGGAAGAGAAGAGTGCAAGCTCTTTGGAGGAAATAAAAGTAAGTTGCGCAGAAAAAAATAAGCATGGGCTGATTTTACTAAGACAGCCTAAATATGATTTAGTTTGAGTTTTCACTGAACTGTGTAGAGAAAACCCAGTTTGGCTTTCATCAAAGTGTAAACAATGTTAATTTTATTTCCTCATCCATTCCACAGCATGTAACACAACCACTTTGTCAATTCTTTGTTTGAATCTCAGTTTTATCTAGAGATAGCGACTATTATAGATTGGAAACATGGCTGTTAGTTTGCACTCTCTTAAACAAGATATTTTCTGATTTAATTTGAATTGAATTACTACTTTCGGCCATTTTTGTATGTATAGGCTTTGAAAGAGTCTTCCATAAAAGCAAGAGATGAAGTGGCAGCCCTAAAAGAGGAAAGGTATGTTTTTGAATACAATGTTAATTTCAAATTGCTCAATCTTTTTTTCTGGATAATTTTTATTTGTCTTATTACAAGCTGAATGTGTTTCAGAGAGATGATGATTTCTGCTCACCACAATCGCATAGAACAATTGAGAGAAAGCTTTAAGAAGAAAATGGAAGAAGCAGATGCTTGGCCAGGAAAAGTGAGTAAATGAACTACACATGTTTCTCTGATTATAATGTACTTGTGTTTGGCCTCAGTTTTGAGCCACTGGGAAAGAATTTTTGGAGTTGGGTCTTTATTTCCAGAAAGTGACCTTCTGCTATTTCCCTCTCCACCCATGGAGTGCCCAACTGGACAGCGAAGTATGGTATGGATTTCCTTGATTAAGCTAAGGGTACAGTACTGTTAGCTTGTTGTTGGTTTAGGGGGAGTGGGGGCAGGTTGGGGCTGAATCAAAACTTGAACCCAGGAGCTTGTATTTGGGTGAGAAGAGGGATTTTATGGAAGGATGTTTGCATCGATGGCTTGGAGGCTCATTTATGAGGAGCCATTAGGATAAGAATAAACTTGAG